CAATTTCATCATGGGTACATAGGCATATGGTGTCATGGTACGTTTTTTTCTAGGTGGTAAGGAATGAGACATGAATCTTTCTCCTTTTTACTATTGAGTTTAATCTAAATTCGTTTGTATCCTATATTTTCTTCACAAGCAATATTAAGTATTTATATAATCCATACATGTAGGAGGTATTGATTAATAAATCTAATTTAATATATTTTCAAAACGACTTGATTATGAAAAAATAGAAATCTGAAAGAATATTTTTTTTATTTATACAAAATTTTATTCACATAAGTGAATGGGATTGGGCAGCAGGCAAAGCCTATTTTAGACCTCCCCCTAAATCTGAAAGAATATGTAGGGTTAAGGAAAAGACATTCATTTTGTTGCTTTTTCCTCAAACAGTTTTAATCTTGAAAACTTCATTTAAAAGAGTTAAGAGGCCGTGTCAGTAACCATTGAGTATTGTATATAAAGTGAGTGGAATGTGAAAAAAAAATATTTTGCTTTAATATTTTGGTGCATGGAAGTATAGATGAATGTCCTTTCCAACATGAGTTATTTGGGTCACATCTTCCTTGTTACCATAGCAACGGTGATTTTAATGCTTGAAAAGTGTGAAATTTGATTATTGATAACCCTGTCAAAATTAATTACAGAATCAAACTATGTTTTTCTTAATTTCAATATATATGGGAGATTTAATTTTTCCCATGTTTATTTTAAAGCATTGGGGCCTACTTTGCTTTGTTTCTACCAAATGCTGTAAAATCAACATGATTTTTATAAATATTTTACACGAAAACGCAACCAAAATCTATCATAATCATACATGCAATAGAACACAGGATGAAAAGCCAGGTTTCCCAAATTTGGAAACCCGATGGAAACATATGGGAATCGTGACATCAGTAGTTTCCATATAGCTTCCATTTTATGGAAACCACATAGTGGTTTCCACATAGATTCCCGACATGGAAACAATCAACCTGTGGTTTCCCGTAAGTTTCCCAAGATAGGAAACCATGGAAACATACCCCGGTGGTTTCCACATAGATTCCCGACATGGAAACAATCAACCTGTGGTTTCCCGTAAGTTTCCCAAGATAGGAAACCATGGAAACATGCCCCGGTGGTTTCCATGTAGATTCCTGATATGGAAACAACCAACCTGTGGTTTCCCGTAAATTTCCCAAGATAGGAAACCATGTAAACATGCCTCATGTAAACTCTGTAAACATATAGATTCCCGACATGGAAGCCACCAATGTGTAGTTTTCCGCATGTTTCCCAGGCAGGGAAACTTTGAAAGTATATCTCAATACTAACCCACCTACCTTTTATTTTACAAAAAGTTAAATATTTAATTATGTTACCATATTTCAAAAGTGTTTACATGCTGTATCAAAATAATTAGATTCAAACAGTTAAAATAACTAGATGTGTATTTCTGTGTGATTAATTCAATATTTCAGCACCGTGAACGCAATTTAATTTTAATTTAATTTTATTTAACTAAATTTTATTTAATTTAATTTAATTTTGAATTTGATTGATCACATAAGTTTTGGTAAACTCATATAGAATGCGTGAAGTGGAAAAAAAAAAAATAGTAAGTGTATGCAGTTATGTAGAAATCAATCATTTCCGATCCCACTTTCTTGAAGCTGAATATGATGAATGATCCTTTGAAAAAATGGAAGAGCTAAGGAAGGGTACATTTAAAGAAATTATTTACAGAAAAGGTTTACTAAAAAGATCGATTAAAAAGTAAATAAAGAAATATGTCAAGTTACGATTACTGATTAAGAACAGGTGAGACGTTCCTCAATAAAATAATTAAATATTTTTCCAATATTTTGCAATTGACATTGAAGAATTATTTTTACATAATTACATGTATTCACAAGACATCAAGGTACCTTACCAGGCATTTGTGTTAGATACCAGAGGTTGGCATTTCTTATATACCGGGGTAATCCGTCAGGAAAAAATACTTCAGTTGGTTTGTCAAAATTACATTTTTAGTGTTTCAAGTTTTTAAATACAAGTTTAGAAAGTGATAAAGATTTTGTTTTAATATGAATTAATATATTAATATAAACTGGTCAGATAAGAATCATTCATCGAATTGGCTGGGGGTTGAGTATTTTCATACCAGTATTTTACTATTAATAGTGAATATTTTTTTTTAATTTATTAAATTATTATTTTTATTATTGGGGGTGGGTGGGTTGCTTTTCATTTTTTTCCTTGAGAAGCCTCCCCCCCCCCCAAAAAAAAAGCTTTGAAAAAGTCACTATGGCCGGCCTGTGTATTTAGGGACACCTGTCATCACGTGCCATTTCAGGTGGAGACACGTGCCGCGAAGACACCTGTCACTGTGTATTTTTTGTATATTCTATGTGAATTGAGACGGTTTTGTACCTAAAGGGAACAATGGGCTGTTGTTGAGCATGTACACACACAGTCTCCGACCGAAAATTCTTTTAAATTAAGATGATGATTCGTGTTTCTTTTATCATTTAAAAAATTGTATATTCCATAAATAAAGTTATACAAGAGAACATATTTATAAAATAACCTACATTTAAGAAGTTCAATGAAAGAACAAACTATTTAGAATTTTTATTTCAATTTTCATTACTGATTTAAAATAAAACAATCCTCTTTAGAAATTAAATAATTTTCTATAGGTATTGAATAGATCTTAATTCTCGTCGTGTATAATTATATTAAATCAGAATGACGTTAATAGATCAATGTGAAATCAAAACTGTATTTAATATTGTTGATGGGTTTTCATGTGAAATTTGTAATCTAACGTACTACAAAGACATTTATTAGATAAATGTTTATAAGATAATTCATCACATAAAACGTTTTTTTTTTCCTTTCCTTTTTTGTTTAAATATGTACGCAGATCCCCATGTAGTAAACGCCTGCACTTTTCGCATGAAATTACAATGTAGGGTCCTAAGTGCACATACATTATATTTAACAAACTTTAAAATTTTCAGCCATTTTTTTTTCTCCAAAGGTCATTGCTCTAGATAAAGAAAAGTCTATAGTATTTTGCATGATTTTGTTTTCCTTAAGAACAATCATGGCTTTTAAAGTAGTGCATGCTAAGGCAATCTATTAATTAATTCATTGTATACTAGTAATTGTCACGATTGTATTTTTGTGCAGTTTTTGTTGATTTCATTCTATAAAGGTATGAAGTTTGTCAATACTTCAACAAACATTTCTTTATCTATGTTTTTCGCCGACATGCTACTCTTTTTAAAAAAAAAACTTGCGTGACTAATAGACTTGATCTTCAGGCCTGTAGGAAAGTAATTTCCGTTAGAGTAATAAACTAACCGGGATTTTATTTTTACTAGCATACCTTACCAGATTTCTTAACGAAAAAAAAAACATTAAAGAAATACAGGGCGGGACCAGCTAAAGCTGTATGCATAAGTACAGCCCTGCACATCAACGAGTATAGATGACTTTCGACATAATCTTTCCCATGACTTCACTTATACCAATCACGACTAAAATACTGAATTAAAATACTGTTATATTTTCCTGCCTTTGATAAAATGTTAGTTTTGTTCCACCTAGAGATATAACTCTCCTAAGAAAAAGGTTTTCAACATTCTGATTCATTTAACAATTTTACGTGTTAAAATGATGTGGGAAATTTTTTTAGCTAAAGGCCAAGGAGTTTAAAGTACAATGTACATGTAACAATTAGAGAAAAGTCTAGCAGGTCCACCAGTAATATTGATAGCAGGCTCAAAATCAAATTAAACCCAGAAAAGGAGGGAGTTCAATTAGTAATTTAATCCCCCCCCCCAAAAAAAAACAATTTATTAGCAATGAATTATCAATCACCGAACTTTTCAATCATCACTATTGAAATAAAAAAAAACTGTTCTTGATAAATGAATCATATTATAATTGTAGCTCATTTTCATGCCTTTTAGAATTCCTGTGGAAAGTTCACAATAAAAAAAAATGTGCTTTTAAAAATTTAACATCTTTTGGGGTGACATTATAAATTAATAATCATACATGTAACAGTTAAAAGAAGGGGGAGAGGGGGGGTTACTTAATTTCAGCAAGGACGGCCACTACCAACAACCAAGCCCGAAACCCATATCCCGAAGGCAAATAAGTTGAGGTGTCAAGCAAGAAACATTTTTTTTCTGCTCTTGCCTCATGTATTTAACCGCTTTTTTTTCTAAATATACTAGGCCTACACATCATATCGGCAAAAATATTTAGGAGCCCCTCTTTTTATTCCATGAAAAGGGGAAAACTTAATTTAATTCTAATATAAGGTCTCATAATCACACTTAATCATAGTGAAACCGTGAATGTAAACAGTTTATATTTCCCATCTTGCATCGCTCTGTAGGCGCTTTATTTCATTGGTCAATTTCCCGAGGCGCCATTTTTGGAGGATCGAGAAGGACGAAGAAGAAGGTGTAAGCAGCTGGTAAATGTGAAAAGTTAAGATGGTTTCACCACCCAGTGTCTTTAAGACTGTGATAAATGCAATGGCCAACAAAGAAGGATTAGTGTACGTATATGTTTGTTAACTTTTTACGGTAAATAGTTGTAATATTTGGCAACAAAAAATCTTCACTATCGGAGGCAACTTTTGTTCTGACACCATTTTGAAAAGTTGGATACCTAAGTTTTAAATTGTTAAGTGTATATATTGCAGAGAGAAAGAGAGAGAGAGAAAAAAAAATGAGACAGTGATATAGCATAACTTAGAATATATGAAGGCCCCAAAGGCACCGTGCATGTACATGCTGTATGTTGTAAAATGGCAACGTTTCGCCTTTTATCATGTTTATTAAAATGTATGGTCCATATGTATGTTCTCTCTTTATATATAAATGAATACTTTTCGGAATTAAAAAAAAAAAATTAATCCCGCTCAAACTATCCGGATGATAATAGTTACACCGAGCATGGTTTCGTAGTTAAATTCAGACTGTAGAACATCCGGTTTGAATACATGTGTTTTCTGACTTTTCGGATATCCAGCCAACTCTTGTTTTTTGGAACTTACGACTTATGGCAAGGTATAAATTAAACATTTTTGGTTCAAAACTTTGATAAAAGCATCGATATTTTTTACAAAAAGTGTCTTTAATCTCAGCTTATCCGATTATTCATGAAGGATATCCTCATCAGAACAGTTGGAATAGATTGTTCATTGTAGCGAATAGCATAACCCTTAATCATATGCATGACGATGAATTGGAGGAAAAATATACATAAAAAAGTGAATGTAGGTGAAAGCCTGTCCACTTTTCTGAAGAGATTAGGTTTGTTTTATTGTTTATTGAAATAGTTTACTGCTCAAAAGATTTTTTTTTTGTAATGTCTAACCTGTTGAGATGAAGATGTACAAAAAGAAAAGCCTAATAGTGAATTAATATTGATAGTATGTCAAGAAATGCAAATGAATCATCAGCTTGAATTATCAGTTTTTTCACAATTATTGACCTGAGTAGGTCAATGTATAGCGAATAATACATACTCTTTTCCATATCACATCCTAGCCCGAGACACCAATATCAGCCAGAGGGACAGAGGCCCTAGGGCTGATATTGGTCGAAGGTCTGATACGGATGTGATGTGGAAAACGGTATGTTTCATTATGTTAATTACAAACTTGGTAATAAAATACAGAACACTTCAAGTTGAGAAGATCAAGAGAATAAGTAAATAATCATGCACAATAAAACTACTTACATACATGTACACGGTATTGTCTTACTGAACAGATTTAGCTGTCATTAGGTCAAAATTGCAAATAATAACATGCTACTTATATCTGTATATACAGGTAACTCTTGATGGCTTGAACTTCGATTTCTCGGTCGGAAGTTCTTGATCGCTTGAAGTGAGTCTCTGGTCCCGATTTTTTCCACTATATAACTAAGCAGATTTGCTCTTGATTTCTCGAACTCTTGATCTCTTGAAATCCTTGATCCCTCGAAGTCAAAATGCAGTCCCGCTGTGCTGTGAATTTTACCCTTGATACCTTGAAGTGGCTGTGTGTATACCAAGTTATAATGTTCAAACTTTTGCCATAATTGTATATCTGTGTGTCTGTCTGAGTGTCTGTTGTCAACTTAAACCTTCACCATAACTTTAGAACTATACGAGATAGTGGCTTCATATTTAGTATGCATACTCCACTAATGAAGTGCTTTCAAATGGCAACAAGGACAATGATTATGTGATCTTGACTGTGACCTGTATGCTAAAAAAAATTGTATTTTCGAACTTTGTTGCTGTGTTTCTCAAGCGCATCTTTTTTTAGCTCTACTGGTCAGAGACCAGAAGAGCTTATGCGATAGTAATGCATCCGGCGTCCGTCCGTCTGTCTGCAAACACTACTCCTCCTTAAATTTTAGTCTGATTTAAATATAACTTGGCACACAAGTAGACTATACTAAGATACATAATTCTGTGCATCAGTTTTTGATAAGTACAAACTAGTAGAGCTACAGTCTCAACAGAGACTTCTGGTTATTTTTTCTTCCATCCCGATTGTTGCTAATGCTATTACATAATTAGTTTAAATTAGAATGCAATAGTACCTAGACATAATTTATCATTTCAGAGAGAAGAAAACTGTGTGACTTTAAAAGAAAACCAGTGAGATAAAATCATAGAAAATGTATGATGATTCAGGATGTGGTCATTTGGTAAGTGGTAATTCATTCATGATTAGTATGTATATGACAATTGCCTGAAAAAAAAAGATTCTAAATTTTATTTAAATACTGAACTGTGGTATATCAGCTGTGAGCTACAAGAAGTTTTATGTAAAAGCTAGGGCTGAAACAATTTGCCCCCTCCATGTTATGTGTGTATTGCTATGATTGACATACAATCAGTACTCTAATACATACACTTCAATAAAAGTAAATGAATAAAAAAGGCTCATTATGCACATATTTATATGAAATATGATAGATTTTTTTCTCTCCAAGGAATAATTTCTGCAAGTCACTAAGTTTTAAGAGTTTCCTTTATTTTATAGATATTCAATGAAATTATTTGAAGTATTAAATTTTGGTAAATTTTATGATACTAAAAGGTTATATGGATGAAAAAACTGCATGCGTGTATGACAATAGGGCTTAAATTTTTAATGTCTCTTAATTTTTCAGTGACATTAAAACAGGAAAAGTCATTACCAATAGACGAATTTCACATTCTTAAGAGTTTTCTCCAATTGTCGGCGTATCGCTCATTTCCCCCGCAATGTCCTTTGTAAGTTACTTGTTAATATTTTCAATCTTCAAAAATGTTGGACAATTACGATCTGTATTGCCAGAGTATGGGGGCAACATGAAAATCATAATGAATATGTTCATACAGATTTTATTTCTAAGATATTGTCCCTCAAAATTGATACGGTTAAAGAGGGAAAACAGCGTCTTAAGCCGGTTGACCCCAGATCGACCCTGCAAAGGGGAATAACTTTTGTAAATGTGAAAGTCCTTTATGGTATATCATATAGATCTAAAACTGACTATGGTATATCATATAGATCTAAAACTGACTGAATTTTGATCAGCCAATTCATGAACATGATGAATGGATGTAAATAATGTTGGTCAATATATGTAAAAAAAAATTAAATTACTTGTTTATATATGCATTTGTGGTATCTCTCCCATTGAAGTTTATAAACTTGTTATTTATTTCTTAAATAAACTGAGCGTACATGCAATACCGGTATAAAATTACTCATAAGATACATGTATACTTAAACCATGATAAAATCATATGTGTCCGATGCAGCATATGATAAATCATTAACATACAAGTGCAAGTATATCCATACTGTAATACATATATATTGCATTATTTTTAGGTCCTGTTCTGTGGATGCCCTAAGACAGTGTCTACCCATCACTCCATCTGAAATCACTTGTTCTGTGCATATTTCTCTCTCAAACTTAAACTACAGAGAGCCTGTGGATAGAGGATGAAGAGTGACCTTGGACTAATTTTCTAGGTCAAAGGTCAGTATCAAAATCTACTGTATATCTTTGTTTAAAATCGTAGTCCAGAGTATATTTCTCCCCTGGTGTAATCAAGCTTTTGTGCAATGGGGTGGAGGGTCTGCAATGATCTTCAACCAATTTCTAGGTTGAATGTCAAAATTTAAAAAAAAATCTCTCCCTAATATTTTTGTTATTATAAAGGGTATGTTTTCTCTCAAACTAATCAAACTTAAAGCAGGGTTCTTGGTATGAGATACATGTAGTAATATATTCTCAATGACATAATAAGGCTGAAAACATTATTTATATTGTGTTATTTTTTTTTTTCACTTATCATAAAGCATTAAATATTAAAGAGATACATTAAATGCTGAAATCATATGTATCATGGTCATGGAAAGTAATTATTGATATTGGTATATTTAAGGACATTGACTGATCTTTCAGATTTCTAAGTTATATTCAAGCATTTTAATTCTGACATCATATAATAATTTTGTATGAATATTGCAGATCATAGGTGATGAGAAGAAAACCAGGAAACTGATGTTGAAAGAAGTACTTAATGACCCTTATGAATGGACATTTATGTGAAAGACTGTTCCATTGTTTATCGAAGATATTTGAATTTATTTAATATTTTGATAACATTGAAAAATACAGTTACAGTTTATTTGTACATCAAATGAATTATTAAACACATAAAATGGAAATGCTTTTTTCTTTTACATGTAATAAATTTTTTTGATAGATTTTTAAAAGAATTCACATTATTTCACATTGCTTCCTTTAGAAAAGTTAGGGAATCTTGATGTTTCCCAGTAATTTCCACAAGGAATGGGACTCCAGATAATTCCACCAAGTTTCCGCCACACAGAAAGTGCTACACAAGTTCCATATAGTTTCCTGAGTCAAGGAAACTTCAGGAATCATAAGGTTTCACGAGCTTCCATGTAGTTTCCCATAAAAGAAAACCTTAAGATTCCATCAAGTTTCCATTCCATGGAAACCACTACGCTCATATTCCATATGGTTTCCTGAGTCGAGGAAACTTTAGGAATCGTGAGGTTTCTCAAGCTTCCATGTAGTTTCCCGTATAAGGAAACCTAAAGATTCTATCAAGTTTCCATTCCACGGAAACCACTACGCTCCGATTCCATATGGTTTCCTGAGTCAAGGAAACTTAAGAATCGTGAGGTTTCCCGAGCTTCCATGTAGTTTCCCGTAAAAGGAAACCTAAAGATTCCACCAAGTTTCCATTCCACGGAAACCCCCTACGCTCCGATTCCATCAAGTTTCCTGATTCTGGAAACCAGTGGAATCTTCAGGTTTCCCATTACGGGAAACTACATGGATGTTCGGGAAACTTCAGGTTTACAGAGGTTTCCGTGGTTCGGGATACCTTATGGAATCGGAGCGTAGGGGGTTTCCATGTCACGGAAACTTCGCGGAATAACCTAGCATCCGCTACGGAAACCACTGGGAAACATGATGTAAACTTGAAGTTTCCATGTGGTTTCCATAAAGTTTCCCATGATGGGAAACCACTTTTTTCACCCAGTGGAAACTACGAGCTTTGAAGTTATAAATCCAATAATAAAAAATGGTAGTTGGTTACTCTATAGCAAATAATTTGATTTAGAATGTACCACAAATATGAAAACGCGTGAACGATTATCTCCCTTTTGTGGAACTCTCCTGCTGATAAAGAACAGAAAGTTGGAGTTGCAGCAGAAGTCGGAGAAGAAAAACACAATGGTCGAATGGAAAGATGTATGAAGCAGGTCTTGTGCGGTTACAGAGGACACGACAGCATCAAGAGTTTGTAGGTGACTGAAAAGTACTATATATAGTCCGAAATATCTGACGTTTTCCTGGCTTTTTAACTATTTCTATATTTTACGTGCGAGGAAAACGCCATAACCGGCGCCTTTACGAAAACTGGGAATTCCAAGCAGAGGCGGCATTCTCGGTGTATTTTCGATGCTTGCAATTACTTGTCAAACTCACAATTTATCAATAGTACAATGCCTCTAGTACTTACCAATATAGTTTTTATGGTTTTTTGTAAATATATGATCCATGATGGAAACATTTTCTCTGACTGTCGAGATTTGTTTTCATTTCGTGCGTTTACAAATTAAAAAAAAATATACAAATCCTGTATCGAAAAGAGGAGTGATTATTTTCTTTTCATTGATATTGTCAAGTACTTAAAGCATTGTACCATTGATAAATTGTAACAACGGCATTTAATGCGGTTCCCAGGTATGGGAAATCAACTCTGACTGGAAATGGCGAAATTTCCAGTTTTCGTAATGGCGCTGGTTCTGACGTTTTCCTGGCACAGAAAATATTTTAAAAAAAAAAACCTGAAAAATGCCAGATATTTCAGACTTTATTATTTAGAGCATATTCATCAATCACTGATAAGGTCAAATTGGTAGATTTCCAATCGTGTATGTCTGCATATTAGTGTTCTTTTGATAAGTAATATTTCAAACAATATTTCCAAACAATATTTCAAAAAAAATTCATAGCCATACCTGCTACACCTCATTATCTCAGGTCTATCAATATATATTTTTTCGGAGAGCTACAGTTCTGCAGCTACACTAAAACAAGATGACAAAACTTGAGGTTGCTAATATTGATTTGAAAAGGGGAAGGGAAACTAGGATAACAGACTCAACTCTGGTTTCAAAATTTGCTCCTGACCCTTAAAGTGGAGGGAAGGGGAACCAGGATTTATAAATTTTAACTACAGGAAATTTTGACTTCCCAAAAAAGTAAGGAGTGGGTGGGGTGCTATTCCTCCTAAGCCCTTGATCATGTTGGGCACAATTTCTGAAAACGATAATTCTGAAAATGTGAAACTAAATTGGAGTATCCCCTTTGTCCAGTTTAATGTCTTATATCATACCCCAGTCACTATACCTGTATATGCTATAGGCTCAAGTAAGTTTGTAAACAGGTCTAAAATATTTTCAGGAGAATCATGATGATAATCAGTTGCAATGTGAACTAACAAATAACCTTGAAGTACAAGCAGATCCAATTAATGTGGAACAAATAAAGGTTTGTATTGAAATTTTTACATGTACTGAATTATTATGCACAAAGAGCATGAACATATTTTTGTTTGTCCTTTCTGTTTATCTGTTGTCAGCTTTAACCTTTACCATGACTTTTGAACTGTGAGATCATATTTTGTATACATAATCCACTAATTAAGTTTTTTTAAATTACACCAACGTCAGTAACCTTTAGATCTTGATCTTTTTGCTAAAACTAGCTTTTTTATATTTGTTGATGCTGGGGGCATACTGTTTCACAAACTTATCTTGCTTTAAATTACTTTTAGCATCAGCTTGTTTATTATAAAGAATCAGCAACTATATGCAGTAGGGTCATGTAAATTTGTAAACAGATATGAAATACTTTCAGGAGAATCATGATGATGATGAGTTGCTATGTGAACTACCGAATAACCATGAAGTACAACCAGATTCAAAACATATGGAATATAGAGGTTTGTACTGAATTTTTTACATGTACTGAATTGTTTAGAACTACTTGAGCATCAGCTTGTTCATAAGAGCCCAGCTTCAAAGAGTACCAGTAATCACTTTGTTCATCCATTTCTTTGTCGAGAGATAACTCAAATGCTATGAAACTTCAAACTTGAAAGGATTGTGACTCAATAACTTAAATCCATTTGACCTATGAACTTCATATTTTAAACCCAGACAAGAAGCCTAAAATGGGCCCGTATTGCTCACCTGGTCTTCTGTCAAAGGTTGTTAAAGACTGATATCATGAGGCACATTTGTGTCATGTAAGCTGTGCTTTTGAGGCAGGTATGAAATGCATTTTAGATAAGACAATTTCATTGAAGTCTACTGTGACCTTAGCATTGAAATTTGCCATTGAGTTAGGGTCATGGCACACAACCTTATCATTAGGAGCATTGTATGCCAAGTATGAAGCTGTTCCATGAGGCATATAGAAATACAGACCTGAAAACTCCATCAAATTTTACCTTGACCTTGACATTGAAGGTGTGACTTTGGCTCAGGGCTGTGAAACACTGTCTCAGCATGAGTATTATTTGAGTCAAAATTAACTTGTTTTAAATGAAGTTGTTATTTGGATTGATTTTGTATCTTTCTTTTGTAGGTGGAATCAACTCCAGACGACAACTTTTCCAAACACCTTGTGAAAGTCATCTGAATGCCAGGATTCTCAAGAGCATGAAGATAGTCCATTACATAGAAGGAAGACCTTGATTATGTATCTTGATGTCATTGGTGAAAAGGCAGAGGTCTAACACTCTCTGTGAAGAAAATGATTGACAGCTGAAGGGAACATGAACAATTTGAATCAGATTTCTGATATGGCTCTTAAAGCAGTGAACAAAAAACATTTTCTTACTAAGTTTAAGATTTTGATATCAAAGTTTTTGGAAGGGGGATATAGGAATCACCCTGTTTGTTTGTCCATCTGTCTGTGGACAACACTTGGATTATACTGCTCTAGCTCTAGTTGGTTAAAATAGATAATATCTAAAATCAAATGTGTCATACTTCTTGTTTACTATGCATAAATGTACTTTGAAGAACATACTGTATAAGTAGAATTTTTAGTGAGGATTTAATTTTGGCATTATTAGAGAGGGTGCTGACATCGCTAAAATTGAATATTGCTAAAAAATTAATGTCTTATTATTTGTAATAGCTTCTTTAGTAAAAATTTTAAAATCGCTAAAATTACTTCTGGCTAAAAATAAAATGCCAGACTTTGGTAGAAATTGCTAAATTTGCATCTCGCTAAAATTTCCACTTATACGATATATTATTATTTCTAACAAAATATTTCTGTAAAATATTTGACTGTACACTTCAGAAAAAATTCAGTCTCAGAATCAGGTACAAGATATGCTGTAATGGTGCCTAGTTGTGTCGCCTGCATATCAAGGGGACTCCTAAGGATCACTTCTCCATTGTCTGTCAGTCTGACTAGCTGACCATCAGTCTATCTGTCTGTCACAATTTGATATGTCATTCCTGAGACACCCATTTTCAATGGATAACTCTTGTTTTACGTTCATATCTGTGATACTTTTAGTGAGCATTGATATTTGACCAGTTGATTGGTCTTTGATAGTAAAATAAGATAAAACTAAATATAAAGTTGCTGTAAACTACATTTTCACAAGCCTTGCTGATGTAATGGTTTATTTTCATTTGAATAAGTATAAGGTCGTCTTGTGTTTAACAGACACGAATTCTCATTATACCCCCTGTAAATGAAGTTTGGGGGGGGTGTATATAGGAATCAGCTTGTCTGTCTGTTTGTCTATCTGTCCATCAAGTCTGTCTAGCTGTGCAAACATGTACGGTCCATATCTTTCTTACGGAGGAACATTAGAATCTACTACTCCATACAAAGATTGCTCATGACCTAAGAGTGTGTCATGATCTTGACTCAAGGTCATTTGGGGAAGTTCAAGGTCACTGGAAGAAAAATTTCATTATTTGTGTCTGTTCCATATCTTTCTTATGGAATAATTTGGTAAGTTCCCATTTTACAAAAAGATTCCTC